AGTTATAACCATAACCTTGCCGATTCCTTAATTCTAACCCTTTTTCCCACGCCTCTTCTTTAAGTCCTATGCTTCGTGAAGCATGATAAGTAGGCTTAAGTTTGTTTTTTTATAAATCTACAGAGTAAAATCATTGGAATGCGTAGAACAAGACTGATGATTAATAAAACGGATGACTGAAAATTTCAACAACGAAAAAGAGCAATTTAAGAAGAAATAAAAGAGCCAAAATGATTAAAATATAAATATGAGCTTACTGTCAAGAGTGGAATTGATTGATTTAAATCACGTGATTTTTTTTTCTTCAAATCATCGATTTGAGTTAAATCGAGTATTTGGATACCGTAATAAATTTTAAAGTTGCTAAGTTTTTAAAATCCTGATTTCACTGATATTGAAGGTTTTATCTAAAGAAATAATAAAAGAAGAATGATAGAAATTATTATTTGATGTCCGTGAATTATTTGATACTACGTGATTCGATTATACTTAATTTCATATTTTTTTTAAATACAACTATTTTTTAAAACTTATTAATTATGTAATTTGTTTTTATAAATAAATGAAAAAAGATTTATTACGCCAAAAGTAATTCAGAATAGTTTTTTTTTCTTATCTTTTGATAATTAACTGACAAATTGGGTCTGTTTTTCATCAATTCATGAGGATGTTGAGTTTGAATTAATTTCTTAAATAATTAGTTTGTAATAATTATTTAACAATTTTTACCGTTTTAGTAAAAAGTACGAAGCATTTTTGTTAAAATATTGTTATTAAGTAATATTTAATACTTCTTATACTTTTTCATCTTAGTTTTTAGAAAGAGAAAGAGCTCAAAACTGCGATGTACAGTGAGCTAAATAAAAAAAACGGACCACCCTAAATAACTTATGAACAATTGATCGGATTTTCACGTTCTAGGACTCAATCTTAATGGTTCAAGGGGGTGACTTCAAATATACTAATTAATGCAGACTACGTTTTAAATTATGAAATCAGACACAAAAATGTACTTCATTTGAACAAAGATACCTTTTTTTCGACTGATTTGTTTGAATAATTGGATATCTAACACCCGAAGTACAGGGTTAGCCGCAATATGGTATATATGGTCCCGATTGCTTGGTCAGGAGAACGGTCAAATATTAAGACCCATAAATGTTAACTTTACTGTTTTCGAAGTCAGAAATCCGAATCCGACGAACAAAAAGGTATGTTTATTCAGATAAAGTGCGTTTTTGTGTCTGATATCGTAATTTAAAATATCGTTTCCACTAATAACTTAGCATTTTTGAAGTCACTCTCTTGAACCATTGAGTCCTAGAACGTGAAAATCCGATTATTTTTTTAAAAGTTATTCAGATGGTCCGTTTTTTATTTTGCACACTGTACATCTCAGAACAATCTATTTAAGTAAAAAACGTATGTCGAAGTAGCAATGGAAAATTTGAAATACTGTTATTTTTTTTTTATTTTGTAAGCATTTATAAATAATTTGATAATTATTTAACAAAGGTAACTTTTTTTTACATTTTTAGTTTGCAAAAAAAAAAATTTTTCCAAAGAAAATGACAATATTTTAGCTAGTGAGAACTATCAGCCCATTTTTGACAATAAATGTTTCATAAATCACAGAACTTCGGTCCTCAAAAATATCAATCTCAATCTTAAAAATTTGGTCTTCGGCGACGTAAAATATTTTTCCTAACCCTTTATACAGCCATTTTTTATAGTATTGTTATGCTAAACTATTTTTCGGATTAAAATTGGTAACTTTTCATAGCTAAATATTTATAACTTTTTTATGATTTCAACGAAATTTAATTGAAGAAGCGAACAATTAATGATGAATATCATCAAACATTTACAAAAAAAAAAGTTTAATCCAGCGTTGTAAAAATCAACGTCAGGTTTAAACGCCAGGTTAAATTCTTAAAAATCTTTGGAACTATATTAAATGCATTAAATTCATGAATTTAAAGTATAAAATTCATAAATTTATTTTTCAAGTTTATTTCACAAGTTCAAGCTAGTAGTGTCTCCAGCGATTATCTGCCACATTTTCGAGAAATTAAGCGAATCCTCCCAAAAGCATGAAAGTGTTTCATTGTTAGGATTTATTTTTAAAAATTGAGGGTAGTTCTGTGGAAGTAAAGCTTTTTTAAAGCTTCGTGGCAGGTAGCAAAAAGAAACATTTATTTAGTACAAACATCAGTTTTAGAGCTATCAAATTTAACTCAGAAACTAATTGACCGATTTCGTTCAAGATCGGTATTTCGTCATTTTAAATTACCTACTTTATAATGATTTAAAAAAATTTAAATCTTCGATATATACATTACAATTCAAAACTTTTTCGACTATTACTAAATAAATAAAATAGTAACATTTTAAATCACTTAATACATGAAATTATCTTTGGATAATCGAATCTTACTATTGACTGCAAAACTTCTCGATTCGTTTAAAAAATTACCGGGCAAAACGAAAAAAAAAGTTCATTAAGATTAAGGGGTAGAAACTTACAATCATTCATATTTTTGTGTTTGATTCCGTAACTTAAAATATCGTCTGCACAAATTAATTCGCAAAACGTTACGATCCTCGAACTTAAAATTGAGTCTTAGAAAATCGGATCATTAAATTAAAAGTAATTCCGGGTGTACACTTTTTTTCATACTGTACTACTTTTTGTGGGCAGGCATCAATTGGTTAAATAATTTGTACATGTGTTGTCGTGATACTGATAAATAAATAAATAAAAATAGCCTCACGCATCGAAAAAATTGTTCGAAGTCTGACAGATACTTAATCCAGACAGATGCAGCACGCTTCCTGTTCACTTCGCGGTTTCGTGACTCAATTCTGGGAATTCCAGTGTAATTTTATAAGCTCTTTGCCTATATTACAGCAAACCATTTAGTAGAGTCATTACGTAATGAGATGATTTTTGTAAAACGAAACCGCCAATAATGATGCCATGAAATTATACCCTTAAGGTAAATACTACGAACAATGCGAAATATTCAAATAAATTAAGTACCATAGCTGATAATGGTCTATATTTAGAACACTAAACTAAATCAACAACCTTTAAACAAATACTTGAGAAAAACGCGAAATTAAACTATAACAACTGTCCTTAGCATTTCAATTATTTTTTTTACAAAACTGAGGCACGCCTTCATTTGGTTTTCTAAAAGAGGCAACGTTCATCTCACTGTTAAGAGAAGGAATTTTAAGATTCTTTTGAAATCTCAATTAAAGCTTTGTTTCAGCTCATTTTGAGTAAGTACATGAGTAATTCCTTTTTAACTGCGTGTGACGTAAGCAATTGCGTCATTCATAAGCAATTGAGAATGCGGTGAATGATTGATTCAGCGTTTACGATGGAATTTATTTAGTTAGAGTAAACTCAATGGTTACTTTCTTTTTAAAAAAAGTGTTAAGAATTCATAGAAGTATAAAATATTTAACAATGTCTGAATGACGTTTCTCTGATTTACCCTTTACTGATTTTCTTTTAAATGAATTCTAAAAACTAACCTCCTAATGTTAATCTAGTATAATAAAAATTAGAGAACATAATAATTTCCAACAGCCGATTCATATTATTTGAATTTTAACAGATTTTCCGATCGAATTTATAAACATTTTTAAAATGTAGAAAATCATGATAATAGAAAAAAAAAACATTTACAATTTAAGGACATTTTATGTACAAAAATAAGTACACAAATAAAAATATAATAAATAAAAAAGAGTAGAAAAGTGTAAAAACTATTTGCCATATGATCAAAAATATATTTTAAAAAAATATTTGTGTTTATTGAAGACAGTTGCTGTCTTAAGTCAAAAAGAATAAGGAACTTAACATGAAATATCCCCAAAATAGTTTTAAAAAAAAGTTATACGATTATAAATAAAGAATTCGATTATTTGAAATCCTGAAACAAAATCGCTGTCGGCTGAATAGTTATTTTACATGAAAATGATTTCCATTATTTTACTAAAAAATATGATTTCCTTTAAAACTAGATTGAATTTCTGCCTTAGACAACTTTGCGTTAGTCACTGGAGATTTTCCAACAGTTTAAAATTTGTACGATCATTTAAACACATAATTTTACACAATAGAAAAAAAATAATAAAATTAAAAATTTAGTTATTAGGAACCCTAATAATTTCACAAAATGTATATTCTCACATTGTCATCAAATTTATATTTATCAAATTATATTATAATTACTAATTATCTTTATAATTACACTATTATTATACATAATATTATTATTATAGCTAATTATTACATAATTATAATAGTTAATTTTATTATAGTTAATTTTATTATAGTTAATTATTATCATATATTGACTATTATATTAATAATTATATTTATATTATTGTTATCAATTTATAAGTTGAAGTTTCCTTTAGAAATTGGAACAATTTATAAAATATAGCAGTAAATTATTTTCTATCTTTGAAAAAGTTCCTGGTTCGTTAAATTTATAGGAAGAATATTTTTAGATGAACGAAAAAATTCCATAAGTTACAATCTTCAATATACACATACACCTGGCTGCACGATTAATTTCAAATCTTCAATTTCGTTAGTAAATAAAATATGGTACACATTTTCTTAGAAATTTGAGCAATTTATAAATTATACCAGTAAATTATTTTCTATCTTTGATAAAGCTCCTGGTTCGTTAAATTTATTGGAAGAATATTTTTTAGATGAACGAAAACATTCCACAAGTTACAATTTTACACATACACTTGGCACGATTCATTTCAAATCTCCAATTTCGTTTGTAAATAAAATATGGTATACATCAAGATATGAATTTAATTTCAAGAAAAATTTGTAATTGATAAAAGAAAATTTATACACAATATAATATTAAGAAACATCTAACAAATTTGAGGCGCGCACATGTATATCAAAGATTTTTCATTAAAATAACATAGCATAAAATTCTATTTAGTTTACTCACTTGAACAGGATTAGTTCCTAACGGCTTTTGAAGAAACAACAACGCACGTGATTTTTCAGGTGTCCGCTTCGTTCATTTCATTCGTTTTAGCCATCACATCACAGTTAGCTCCACCATGACGTCACTGACATTTCAATCCGTGATGTCACTGACATTTCAATCCGTGATATCACGTCCACCAATCCGAAACATCCGTTTAATTTCTGAGAAAAAGAAAACAGAAAATGTCTCTCATTTCCTAAGGATCACGTATATTTTTTTTTTCTTTTCTTTTTTTCACGGCAGGGTTTGATGGCTCTTTCCTCTTTCTTTTCTTTTTTTTTTCCCATCGAAAAAATATTTTTTTATAGAAATATATTTGAAGTACTGCATTCTTTCTAAGTAATGTCATCTGATTAATTGATTCAATGTCTCTCTTTGTTAAATTTTCTCGCATGGTTTCATCTTTATTGTTTTTTATTGTTAAATTTCAGTCTGTGTTTTTATTTTGTGACAAAACAGTTTGATTAAAACATACCTTTTCTTAAAAAAGTTTTTAAGAACCAAAGATTCATAAATTTTTTTTTCCAGGATTATTTTACGCTCCTGCTCATGTCTAATTGAGAATAGAAAAATTCTTAATTCTAAACTAATTATCTATTTATTTTAGATTTTTGTCAAGTTAAACTTTGTGTGTATCCATTTAAGTATAAAAGATGGTATTAATAAATTATAAATAACAAAAAATTGCCTATCTGTGTTGTAGATTTGAGTAATAAATATGAACTCAACTTAGAAAACAAATTATCTTTAGAGTTAATTACAAAAAAAAATTATGCTGAAATATATTATGCTGAAAATTTTATGTAATTTTGATACAATTTTTTTTTTCATCTTTATTAAGACTAATCCTAAAATTAGATTACTAGAATCAAAGTCAAAATTAAAGAAACACCAGGGGAGAGGGGTTTTACAATTTTCAAAGGTGGGAGGAGGTTTGTAATTTGTTTATTTTTGCTGTCAAGGGGAGAAGAGAAGTACGAAATTTCCAAAAATATTTTTACGTAATATTTGAACTGGCCCTGCATGAATTATGGCATGGAGAATTCAAATTAATTATCGAGTTAATATGAGCACTGTTTCATTGTCTTCTAAACAAAGAAGTCCAAATTGAAATTTTGCCACGCTTTCCGCTTTCATTAGTTACCAATTAGCTGAGCTATGATTTTTTTTAAATTTATAAGCAAACAATTAAAAAATAAAATCAATGGCGTGATAAGGGAGGTTGGCAATGGTCCCAAATATCTAACCAAAGTAGGCGATCAATCTAAAACTCTCATCTTGCTTAAAAGAACTATTATTTTTTTTTATTAAATTAAAATTTTTCAACTGATGAACATTAAGATCTGGTAAATAATTTTATTAAAAATAAGTTTTAAAGTTCATTAAAATTTACACATTTTTCAATTAAAAAAAATCTTTTACAGTGGAATAACATTTCCTTTTTGTCACATAAAATCATTAAAAAAAATGAGTTTATATTTTTATAAATCTTATGAAATTTTTTTCAATCTTTTTGCATCTTTTCAGTACTTAGCAATTTTCTTGAAGGGTATCTAGTAAAAGAGATTGCTTCATTAGATGCACATCACTGAATATTACACCTCTGCACGCCACTGAACAAACTTATACCAATAAAAAATTTAGTACCTAAATATTAAATATCGAAATAAACATTGGAGGACTTTTTTGACATCTTGAAATTGTTGATGTTCAGGTGTAAAAATATTACAAATTTATTTTATACAACAAAACACTCTCCTCTGGCTTTAATTCAACTAGATACAAGCTTTCAAATTCCGCGTTTGAAAAAGAGCTTGTTCCTAGGACAAAAAAATGACTAGCGTGGCACTAAGTCAGTATCGAAACTTTTGTTTCGAAAATAGCTATATAAGACCTAAAACGGATGATATTACTATAGAGAGATACCCAGGAAGTAAGCAGGATGAGGGTAAACTTCCCACCCAAGCTTTTTAATCTCATCAGTGCGTGCTCACATCGTATAAAGTCTGTCTTTGTTTCTGAAAAGAATCACACTTATCTATGTTAGTTGGTAACTTATTATATGTTAAAGTCTTAACCCTATTGCCCACTGGGCTGTGATGGATTTATCAGGATTTGCTAATGTAGGCCTAGATCGAAAAAATCCTATCTTCTGCATGGTGGGTTTTTAAAATAATTACTGAAGTTATTCTGTAATTTTTATTTCAAAAGCAAAATTAATGTTTATTTTTGCCATTTTAACTAAGATTTCTAAAACACTAAAGCTAAATTAACTTTTATAATTTAATTTTAAATGTTATATAATTCGGCTAAATTAATTTGATATTTAAGGGGAAATGCATTGAATATAGTCTTGAAATTCTTAAGCGATTAAGTCCGGGTCAGAGGCATTTTTAAGTTAATGAAAGAAAAGAAAAATTCGTTGCTGAATTTATAATTATCACCAAAGTTGCAAGTTAAAAAAGAGAATAATATAAAAAAATTCAACTTGAAATCAAGTCTGAAAACCCTTTTTATCGATCTGTCCTGGTCAGAGATCTTGGTAGAAATATGAAATAATTGCAAGTACATTGTGGCCTACACTATTTTATAGATCATCTCCTAAATTGAAAGTTTGAAAGCAGACGGATATAAAAATTTCACCATAATTCCGACTCTAGAAACTCTTAAGCCTGGGTCAGAACTCCTTTTAAGAATATGACTGTACAAATATACAATGAGCAAAAAGAAGAACAAAAAAAAAAAAGACCACAATGAATAATATTTCTTTAATGATCAGATCTTTACGTTCTAGGACTCATTCTTAGTGGGTTGAGAGTGTGACTTCAAATATGCTAATTAAACAGGGCAGACGATATTTTAAGTTACGAAATCAGACACACTCCAAAACGTACTTTTTCTTAATTAACTTATTCGGATTCGGATTTCTGACCACCGAAATATAGGGGTATTATGGTCCCCATAGTTGAATCAGAAGAGCGGTCCAAAGTTTTCATCCCCTTAATTTAACTTTTTGCTTATTCGCCATAATTTTTAACTTTTTAAGCGAGTTAAAAAAAATTTGCCTAAAATTAAAAAATTCTTTTATCTAAAGAGAATCCCCTTCAAAAAATAAATTTTAGTAAATATTTATTATTTTTAATTACTTTATTTAATAACAGTTGAAAAATTTTTAATCGTAAGGTATACGATTTTTTACTTCATTTTAAAGTATGTAATTTTACATGGCAAAATATAATTCGGTTGAATATTTCCTGAGAAAACGAATTTTAAAGAAGTCGTGCATTTAAAATTCTTTTTCTCCAGAACTGGTCAACCGATTTTGTTCAAATTTTGTATTTTGCTATGTAAAGTTATGTACCTTAAAATGACGTAAAAATTATGTACCTTACAACTCATACAGTTATATGCCTTGCAATTGGACTATTATTAAATAAAATATTAAATATTTACTTGTTTTTTTTTGCATGGAATTATATTTGAATAAACAAATTTTATAAGTGTACGCAAAAAGTTTCCATTTAGCTTAAAAAAGTTTTCGAGATATGATGAAATACGTAAAAAGTAAAATTAACATTACGGGTAAAATTAACATTACGGGTAAAATTAACATTAATCAAAATTTTGGACCGAACTTCTGACCAAATTATTAAAACTATTTTTCCTAGATTACGACTACCTTCTAGATGTTGGGGTGTCAGAAATCCAAATCCATTCGAAAAAGGGTATTTATTTTCAGAGAAAGTTCGTTTTTGTGTCTAACTTCATAACTTAAAATATCGTCTGCATTGATTAATTAACATGTTTGATGTTATCCCCTAGATCCATTAAAAAAAGAGTCTTAGAACGTGAAGATCCGAGCATTAAATTAAAATGTATTAAGATTCAACGTTTTTTTTTCTGCATTGCCGTAAAATTTTTGAATTATCTCCTAAATCGTGAATTTAAATAGATGATTACAAAAAATGAACGATAAGTAAGATAATGAAAAACTTTAAATTATCAGGTCAAGGTTAAACTTTCTTCGGAATATGAAATAATTGCAAGAACATTGCTATTAGTTCTGAGCTCTTTTTTAGGAATATAAAATGGGCAAGTAAATTGTTGCAATATTTTTGAATTATATCTGAATTCGCAAACTAAAAAATGGATAGTTTTAAAATATTAGCAATAAGTACGGATGTTGGAAATCTTTAAACTATCAGGCATTTTCAGAAACATGACATCTATGAAAGTATTTTGTCGTATTTTTGATATATCTTCTAAATCGCGAGATTATACAGATAGTTATATTTAAAGTCTTTAAATTATCAGTCCCAAGTTAGAAGTTTCTTCAAGAATATGAAATAATTGCAATTTGTAACGACATTTCAGAATCATCTCTAAAAATGCAAGTTTTAAAGTAGATTAATATAAACATTTTCTCATAATCTCGAGTCTGGAAACTCTTAAACTAATGAGTAAAATGCGAAGACTTTGCTGATACATTTTTAACAATCTCCTTTATCGCGAATGTAAACGTAACCATAAAAATTTAACTATAAACTCGAGTATGAAAAGTTTTTAAAACCGGAGATAAGGCTTTTGTTAGAAATAATTGCAAGTACATTGCCCCAACAATTTTCATTATCTCCAAAGCTACAAATTTGAAAGTTGATTGGTATAAAAATTTAAGCATTAGCCCGAATCATGAAACTAAAGTTCTCTGTTATTCTAAAGTAACAATCTCAGTCAATTTCTTCTCCGTTACAGATCTTTACGAGCTCTTAAATCCTTCAAAATGTCCAAAATTTCTGAGTAGAGTAGTTTTATAATGTGTGCGGAAACTTAAGTGATATTTAAATCCTTACAATAACCACATACATTTTTTAGTAAATATTTGCTAGGAAATTAATAAAATTGATTTTAAATGACCAATATTGATAACATAACCATGAATTGTCTCTTTTGTTGGCAATAGACCTCATTTAACACCATTGCTATTGATACAATCAACGATCCATATAATCTATAAAATTTGTTTCGTGTTATTGCAAAGTAAACGTCCTGAAATTACCTTGCACTTTCGACTCTAAAATATTTCAACACGCAACAAAGTTAA